ACCCTCAGCATGTCAGTGCATCTCACAGCCTTCCCGGCGCCCTGGCAGTCTGGGGAAGACTTGCAGTGCAGTGCCAGCCCGCAAGATTTTAAAGTAGTACTCCAGACCTCTAATAGGTAACTGCAAGGAGTTTAGCTGCTTAGTAACTTCACATGAACAGATTTCGCTGGCATTTCCTTTTGATTTTTGCCCTTTCTCCTTTTTTTCTCCCAACCTGGAATGTGACCCTGTTGTTTAGGGGTGAAGTCCTCTCCCACTGCCACCAGGCAGCATGGGCAAAGGTTTCTTGCTGGGAACCAGAGAAGAGGCCCAGGGGGCCCACAGGTCTGGGTCCCTGCAGTGTTCTGAAGGTGTTCTATCTGCCTGTGAGGACTTACACCAGGAAGATAAAGCCCTGTTCAGATTTGCTTGGGTTTGCCCAATTTTCTGGGGATTTTTGGTTTTTTTTGTTAGTTTTGATTTAATTGATGAACCCTAAGGGTTCTTCTCTGAGCTCAACCCTTGTCTACTCAGACCCTGTCCTGATGGAATCTTAGGGTCAAAGAAGAGTTAGAAATTACTGAGCCTTTAACTATTCTGCCTTGAAGTTCATTAACATTTGATGTGCAGGTCAGGTAAAGGCGGTTAGATTTTAAGCTCCCCAAGAGTGGAAATTATATGTATATTAAGCTGTTTAATATTAAAAATATTTAGCAAAGCCAACCCTGCAAAGCAAATTAATTCATAAATTATTCTACAAAGTTCTGGAACACCCCTCATAATGGGAAGTATATCATTATACTAAAGTTTGGGGATGCATAAAAAATACAAATTCTATGGAAAGATGAAATTCTTTCATTATAAAATTTATTTTGCAAAATTTGATTTATCCCTGGCCAGCCAGTAAATACCCACTAAGGCAGTAGATTCCAACAGCCATCATTTTAGTTGATCTTGATTCTGTGTGGCTTGAATCTACTTGGTGGCTCTGTCTCAGTAGCTTGGCTACACCTAAGGGATAAGGTTCCCTCCTGTGCTGTACCAAAGGCCCCTCTACCTGCCCCCTTTCTCGCTGGCCAGCTCAGCCTTCCTCAGAGCATGGTGGTGCCAGGAAAGGAGGCTACTTGCAGGGCGCCTGGCTTCCAACAGGAAGAGTTAAAAATGGCAAACACAAAGCTGGCAAATCTTTAGGCTCCATGTTGAAAATTAAACCATGTCTTTTCTGCCACCTTCTGTTACCAGATGGGGGTCCTGGGACTTCTTTCCATGTCCTTGGTCAAGGACCAAGACTCTGGGAAGATGCACAGAAAGGAAATACAAAGATAGACAAGTGCGCTCTACAGAGCAAGAACAGTCGATGAAGGCTCAGGGTGGCCCGGAAGATAAGAGCAAGGGACCTTTAATGTCCATAATACCTGAACCAGCCCCCTTCTCTTGTAAATATGTCATTGGGACAATTGGCCTATCAAAAACTCACTTGGCCTCATGCCAAATGATCAGGAGCAATGTCTTTTGATTGGTTGTATCCGTATGTAAACGAAGAATTGGGATACTGTCTCCTGATTGGTCCTTTGTCTAGCACTCAGGAGTGTTAAGCCTAGGGTCATTTGGGGTTTTGCCTTCTGTATATGTCTTCCCTCTTTAGGAAACATCTCCTTGCACCAGGGAGCTGTGGGTCTCTATGACTTTTGACACATTCTGCCCAGCTGGCTGTCTAGTTTGCCCTTGCCTAATGTCCTACCTCACTTCTACTCATCAAAAAGGGCCCCAGGCCTGTCCACCCTCAAGGACAGGAGAGACCCCCCTCCTTTAGTGGAGTAATCATGAGGCTGCACTGCAAAGGAACATATGGGTGACGGATGGTGCTGTTGTTTCCCTGGGAAACGAGTGTGCCCACTATCTTTCACCTCTCCACCAGCTGGTGGTACCCTACAAGCTGCTTCATTTAGCAATTTTCCTGCAGAGGAAGAGATAGTACCTCCCATGCTGAGGGTAGTGCTAGCTCTTGCCAAGTGTCATTTCTCCTACAGTGTGACTAGATTTTCAAAACCACCTTTTCTATACTTAAGCTCTGGGCTCTTTGGAACTCTTGCTCTAGAAAGGGAAGCAACTGGTCAGCCTACACAGCAGGGTGCAGGACAGTTCTCTGATGGACACACTTCTCCAGCTTGATTCTATGTGCAGGGGTGACCCCCAACTTTTTCCATTTTGTCTTGGGGACCTTGGTCACCATGTTTTCTTCCTTCAAGAGCTCATTTCATGTTCCTGTCTGCCTGGCTGTCAGGGAGGGGGTGAGATTGATTCCTGTGACTGAAGAGAGAGCATGACTGTGCCCCCGGGTACCTCAGGAAGGTGTACATAGACACCCTGCAGCGGCAGCTCTCTGACAGGAAGTCACACACCACTCAGTGCCCAAGGTGTCTGCAGATTGAGGCAGACCTACCCAGAGGCTCTCATGGGGAGTTTGCGCCAAGCCATAGCCCCTGCAGAACCTTTCTGTTTTATTTTTCTGAAACCCTCCACTGTGACTCCAAAACAAAGACCAGCCCAATAACCTCCCCACGCACGGCAGTAAAACACCAGATGGAGGGTGATTCACTTGCCAGGCACAGGCTGATGTCAGAGGAGCACTACGATCACCACGGAGAATAAAGGGAACATTCCTGAACCTTCTAGCCTCTCAGGAAGGCCCCAGAGAGGCAGTGGAGAGGTCCCTGATTGCCACAGGGGTTACTTGCCGAGAAAAAACGCATCACCAAGGAACTACTTGGCGGAGTGATTCAACTATTTGGGACCTTTAGTGTTTAAATGAGGAAACAGAGGTTGCATGAGGTGAGGTGACCTGGCCAGGGCCAGCGTGCTGGGAAGAACCCTGGTTTCCTCTTCTCCACGGCAGCCCTCTGTCCAAATGCAGCCCTACCCTACCTTGATTCTGCTGCAAGTCTCACCCTGGCCAAGGGCCCCTGAGGCTGTGAAAAGGAAACCATTATGCTGCTCAGGGGGGAGGAGGAGAGCTGTGGTTTAGTGCTGTGGGGTGGGTCTTTAGGCAGCCTCAGGCCAGAGGGGCGTGGTGCATGCTTGAGTGAGTGCATGTGTGTGTGCTTGGGCGTGCCCTAGTGCATGCGATGCCTCTCTCTTCTCTGGAGCACAAAGCAGGGGAAAATGCCCTGCAGGAAGCCCGTGGGACTGGCCCTGCAGCGACGGGACCTTAGGAGACCCAGTGGGTCTTATTCCGGAACCTCTGGCCAATGTACACAGAAAGACAGCAAAGTCCCTGGATTGTGAGGCCCCGGATGATACATCTGCCAGAAACCCAGAGACAGAAGATGAGCTTGCGCAGAAAGATGAAGAAAAGAGGATAGAGAGCAGCCCTGAGTCACACACAGTTCCTGCAAGTCAGGCCCTCACATTCCGGAAGTGGCCTCACTTTATGAGTCTGTGTTGGGGAACAAGCAGAGCCCACAGCCGGTTCCCTGGGCCCTGGCTTTGTTTGGACAGTGAAGGACAAAGAAGCTAAAGGTAGAACAGTGCTCTCTGCCTTAGAGAGGAGCAGGCCCCTCAGGGTCTGAGCCTGAGCTCAGACTCAGGCTGTTTGACTACAAGAAAGTCTGAAGTGGCCCAAGAACCTGGCCAGGGACCCCTCTGGCTGCTAGAAAGTCAATAGGGCCTGGAGCCTTTTGGAGGAGTGGAGAAGTGCAGTGGATAGGAAGGGACGGGGTGGGTCTCACTCTGGCTGAGTGACAGCCAGGTACACCTTAATCAGTGGGTGCCTGGACAGGGTCATTGCTCTTGGAGCTGCTTGGCTGCAGAGGTCAGGGTGACCTGAGCTCTTAGTGTTTCTCCAGACTGGTGTCACAGTTTAACTGGTAGTAAGGGACCAGGATCAACCCTCCGAACCAGGGACGTGATTACCTGGTGGCTACAGTTTGTTTTTGTTTTTAACAAAGTCTCAGCAGTCACTAAATTGCCGAGGTTGGTCTCAAATTTGTGATCCTATTGCCTCAGACTCCCAGAGTGCCGGGATGACAGGTGTGCACCGCCATGCTTGGCTTGGACTCAGGATCTTTCTAGAGTTTTTGGTCAGTTTTGAGGACCAAGGCTGTCCTTACAGAATAGAACCTTTATCAGTACAGGCTCTGGCTGCATAGACACTCATTATACCCAGGGCAGAGATTCTGTATCAATTCTGACCTGAGAAGAGCCTGTCTCTAGAGTGCCTTCCCCACTCCCAGTGTTCATACTTTCTTTGTCTCTGTCTGTTTCTCCTCTTGACTTTCTTCCAGGATAACATAATGACAACACTGGGACAACACAACTCCTTCAGCCTGGGTCCCCAAGTGACTTTGGCATGCCCTGGGAATGGGACCTTGCTGTGTTACGCTGCTGACAATGCAGGGTTAACTTGTTACACAGCAGAGTCTAGCCTTCCCAGGCTGCTACAATCTAATGGTTCAGAGCTGCATATGCACAGCAAGCTCTGGGAAGGGGACTAGGGAATTGAGTGTCCAGGTCTTACAACCTCCACTCTGGCAAGGAAGAAAGATGTGTTGGGGTGGGCATTGTGCTCCTGAACCAGAGTCCACTGCTCCTTCCCAGGATAATCCTGGAACACTATGATCAAATGTTTAAATACAGAAAGGACACAGGTTACAGCACACATGTGCACATGTCCATGTGTGCACACAATATAATCACTAAATCTCTCTAAATGAGACAACTTTGAAAGGAAAACAGTGATTTTCCTTTATGGCCCTGTTTGTTTCTGATTTGAGGGAAGTCACAGCTTTCCTGCTTTGAGGAGTTTCAGCCTGTCACCCAGACAGTACAGTCTATTAAACAATACCAGGCAAACACATTGGGGAGGGAGCAGAGGCCAAGCTTATAATCACGTCTTCATGCGTAAACGCCCCTCGTAGTGTTAGGGAGGGACTGGCAGGGTTGTGAAACCACATTCGCCTGAGCTCAAGAGAAGCAAAAATGGGAAGTTCATGACATCTGTGAAGTGACTGAGACCATGTAATGGGGAAAGACCTTGGGGATTGCAGCAGAAGTCTGAACTCAGGGAGGAGATGATTCATGCAGGGTGGAGCTCAAAGAGCAGGCAGCAGAGCAACCCCGACAGCTGACGCAGCTGGGAAGAGTGGCCAGGGTCAGCAGGGCAGGGGCAGCCCCACTGCTGGGGAATGGAGGATCACATCGGGATGAATGTGCAATGAACATTCCTCAGCAGGGGCTGAGCTGTGGCCCGGGCACAGCCAGTGGCTTCCCCAGAGACTCTGGAGCACAGAAGAAACACAGGCCTTGGTCTTCCGTGGAGGCTGGAGGTGAATCTGAACCCAGTGAGGGCTGGTGAGGTATGACAAGCCCCTCAGTCTCCAAAGACACAGCATTCCCCAAATTCCTGTGCTGCCTAGAAAAGGCATGTGTCACCCAGAGCCCCTGGCCAAGAGGGTGGAGAAGCGAAGGGTTGACCCCATGAAGAGTAATGTGGAGAAAAGGCAGAGCCCAAGTCCAAGGATCCCTGTCTCCCAGCAATCGGCTTGTCCTCTGGGGACCGAAGGGGAAAGGGAGTGAAGCAGTGATAGGTCCAGCCCAAAAGCCTGTGGCTTGGTGTCCACGCCTCTGCCTCTGCGCCGTGTGGTCCAGCCTCCAACTCCCTCTTGCTGACCCTGGGTGGGAGTCCTTGCAGTCCCAAGCCCCGAGAGCCACCAGGAGTGGAAGGCAAGAGAGCAGGAGGCAGATGTTCTTGACTCAGCCCTGGGTCGCGTCAACCTGTGAGTGAGCTCATCCTGTCCCAGGCAGAAGGGAAGGGGACTTGGAGGTGAGAGTTAAGTCAAAGGGCTTAATGTAGAGCACAAAATGCCCCTTCTTGCTGGTAGTTCCTCTCCAACCCCCCAGTCCTTCCCGCTCAGAACACTCGCAATTATGGAAAAACACACTCTGAGTCACAGTCAGGAAGGGTAGAGTGCACCAAGTCATGGGCGTGATGTGCAGTTACACTGGAAGGACCCTGGGTGTTTATGAGGGCAGAGACAAAGCTTGGGATGGCTACTCTGCCTGGGGCAGCTCAGGCCCTGGCATCGGCTCGCTGCCCAGCTATGCAGGGCCCTGTTGATAACCAAGCATGCAATAAATGCCTTTTCTAGATTGTCTTACCCATGTGTTGTTTTCTGGGCAAATCTTAGAGGCCCAACTTTGTTGTTGTTGTTGTTACTGAGCTTTGAACCCAGGGTCTCTGCACTAAGATATATCCTGAGCCTTATTGATTGATTGATTGACTGATTGAATTAGACAGAGTCTCTGTAAATCACGTTGCCCAGGCTGGGTTTGGAGTTCCCAGAGCACTGTGATGACAGGTATGTGCCACCATGCCCTGCTATTGTACAAGTTTTATATCAAGTTGGTCCTTTCACCTCTCACTCAAAGACATCTAAATAAAATAGTGGTATCACGACTGATGTGTGATTGCCACTCACACTGCTCAGTCCATGGTCCCCTCCCTCAAAGAATCTTCCATTTGGGAGCAGACGATTTGGTTACTGTAACATATAACACAAGGCAGTGAGGGGATAGTAGAGACCACCAGGCTTGTGCAAAGGCAACATCACATGGAATTTATTGTGTTTGGGTGCAGGCAGGCAGAGAGTGATTGGAGCATCTTCCCTACACAAACAGAAGTGGGTCCCTTTCATAGGGATGGAGAGAAGGTGGGAAGATTTTAATAAACATCTGCGGGCAAAGTTCTCTGGCTGTCTTGCACCTCAATGGGCAAAGTCCTTGAAGTGTCCTGTGTAAATTTTCAGGTGCCTCCAGATGTCCCCAGATGTCCCAGAGCCTGCAGAATCCCTTGTGCTATCTCATCTCCTTTCCTGTGCTTGCTGATGATGACTTTGGTGCTGAGCTAAGTTCCCACAGACGGTAGCATTTCTGCTGGTAAGCAGGCTGGGGCTGGGGATGTCTGGTCTTACAGTTGCACCTGTCCAAATGAAATGTTCATCATCACCCCATTCTGCTCCTGTCTTATGGATGTGCCAGTCTGCCTTGTTGCTTACCCATCTGCTAAGCTATCGATGGCAGCCACATTCACCCTGAAGACCAGGGCTTCTTGGTTCCAGGGAGTGGAAGCAGGTGAGGAGGTAAATTTTGTCAGTCATCAAACTCACCTCTGTGCTGCCAGGCTCCTGATGATGGACCCAATGCTTGGCAGGGAAAGTGCTTTGTGGGTTTAGCAACTTCTGAGTGACCTCAAGCAAATAATGGAAAAGTATTAATGGAAGGCAGTGCGTGGAGGCTGGTTGTGGGCAGCCCAGTGATGGAGGCTGCTGGTGAGGTTGCAGGACAGATACCCCTGGGGTGTGGCCTGGAGAGTGGCTTCCTGTATCTCTCTTTCCAAGAAGCCAGGGAGATAATAAGACAGGAGGTACGTAAGGAAAGGGTTGGAGAAGGAAAGAGGGTTCACTTGCTTTGAGTCTGCTTTCTTGGCTGTATCTGAGGCATTAGATAACTAAGGAAACAGCTGGGAAGCAAGGAAGGCTCCCTGGGGAGCTAGCTCCCCAGCTCTGGGTGACCCACCTTCTGAGTTAAACAGCCCACAACCAGGTCTCAGCACACTGGGACATCAGTTCATTGCTAGCAAGTCCTGGGCATGTAGGCTGGGGCCTTCTGCAACCCTCGTCTTCCCCAACCCTAATTAGCATGTCATTAATTGTGGGCCCTCCTCCCACTCCCAACCCCCTGCCACCAATGGCTTCTTCAAGGGCCATAGAAGGCCAAACGCTCCCCTGCACCAGAGAGGGGTCCAATCGTGCTGCTCATTGGTAGAGTCAACATCAGATTAAACCCTCAGCCACACCCCGATCCCTAAAATGCTTAAAATCCTCAACACCAAGCTGGGCCGGGGCGGGGAGGGGGAGGGGTGTGTGTGCAGTCTTTTCATGAGCCCACTCCCAGCCTGTGGACTGGATCTTATCTTTTCTCTTTTCAATAAATCATTGATCCTCTGCCCCCTTCAGTGCTTTCTTTAGAACATCAGGAACCTGGACAGTCTCCCAACCCAGTAACAAGAATGCACCTATGAAAACCAACAGGTATGTGCACTAACCCAGGTGTGAATTTACTTACGTCACACGGTACGAAAGTGATGGGACTCTTTCAAGTAATCCCTAAACTTTGTTGGCAGTGGGAGACACTGGTTGACTCTTTCCTGAGCACAAATCAACCCCTTGAGAGGACATCCTGGCAGGTCCAACAGCCCCCTCATCCAGCGCCAGCATCAACCCCTCTACCCCATTCACTCTAGGGATGGTCCTAAGGGTACAGAGAAAAATCAAATGAAATTCTCATCTTCCTGGGGCTCAGTGTGGAGCAACTTCTCAAGCTTCTCTGCATGTTTATTGCATGGGACCCTGATTCTTTACAGCTGGGCCCCAGTCCATGAGTGTCTAGTCCATGCACAGCTGCTGGAGATGGTCCTGGTCCATGAGTCACGGTCCCACATGGATCCCCATGAGCAGCTGGAGCACAGAGGGTGAATTTGGCAGCCCTCACCAGACAGGGCAGGTCAGGACCCGGGTGGGGCTGCTTTGACCACTCTGTAGGACTTGCAAGCATTCAACAGAGCTAGACTAGGGAGGGGTGTGTGTGTGGGAACTCTCATCTGGGCTGCTTTTTGGGGTCAGGAAGTTCCTGTACCATGCAGGTGGAAAATGCAGAGGCCCAGGAAGAAAGAGCAGAATATGGCTGGGGGTGGTGGAAAGGACCTCAGAGGCTAGGGAACTCACGGCAGTGCAGGGGAGGGGGCACCCACTGGTCCCTATTTGCCAATAAGACTTTTCCTCAGCCACTGACCCTTTGTGGCAGGCACAGCCCTTCCCACAGGCTGACCTTTACCAACAACAGAAAGCCAAGGTCAGGGGCAAGTCCAGCCCCGTACCCTGCAGCAGCGAAGTGGGTCAACCTTCCTGAAGTTGGTACAAAAAGTGATGTCCAGCCAGCACCCAGAGCTCTATGCTCACTCCAGATTCACACCAGGGGAGTCCAGGCTGCAGAGAGGCAGCCAGGGGAGCCCAGCAGCAACAGCCAGGCAGGAGATGGGGAGACACACAGCGTGGGCAGAGAGTGCCAGGAGCCTCCTTAGCAGAAAAAGCTTAATGGAGCATCTTCTTAAGGGGAGGAAGGGGGCTCAGTCTACAATGTTGGGGCAGCATCTTTAGATGCTTCTCACCAAGTGTGTCCAAGTATAGAAGGAGAAAGAAAGAGAGAAGTAGAAGAGGAAAGGAGAGAGTAGGGGAAAGGATGCGAGGGGAAGGAAGGGGAGGGGAGGGGACAGGAGGGCAGGGGGAGGAGAGAGACTGGTTCCAGGAGCTGGGAAGAGGCAGTTGTCTCGCTTTCCTCTGTAAAGTGTGGGCACCTGCCAGTGTATGCTTGCTCTGATGTAGTAAGTGATATGTGCACACTCCTGTTCTCTCTTAAGGCCTCTTCCCAGGCCAGTGCCTTTTCTCTTCTAAGGAGGCTGCAGGAATGCGTTGTTCTCTCCCTGGTGAAACTTTCCCTGAGCACCCATTTTAGACAAGATCAAAACCCACCGTCTTTGCACTGGGCACATGTGCAGAGTGGTGGTGGGGTGCTGGCCATGTTCTTTGACCAAAGGCCCCCTTTTAGTCAGTGGCCTCCAGCAAGCCCACCCCAGAGTCCCCCAGGAGGCCCAGGTAGGAAGCAGGTAGGTGGCAGTTGGGGAGGATAGCAGCTGGCCCCAGGGTACACATCCAACCCTGGGGCTGGAGCTGGAAGGGTGCTAATCTCCTAGGAATGGAGCCTCAAGATGAACTCTTGGGCAGCTGGTGAAGGCCTGACGTCAGGACATGGCCCGGCGCCTCACCGCAGATCCAGATGGGGTGGGCTTGGCTTTCTCAGCTGGAAGGGGCAGCTGGGTTGTTGGGAGTAAAGGAGGCTGACCAGTTAGAGGCCCCAGAAGGTACATCCAGCTTAAGCCAAGATTTTGAGAGACTTGCAAACTTTGTTAGGAGGGCGGAGGGGAGGAGTGGGTGAGCCGTAAGAGAAGGGCAACCTGCAGGGTGGCTGACAGCAGTGGACCAAACGCAAGTATGCCCATGGGCGAATCTCCAACTTCTTAAACCCCGATGTCACGTGTGCGCTTTGCAGAGTCAGTGCCTCGTCCTGCACCCCGATGCTGACAGCAGAGCTGAGCTGCTACTTGTGGCTTGGATGCTCTTCTCCCAGCTGCACACGTTGCACAACATCTGTTGACCTCTGGGGAGCTAAGTTGGCTGCATCCTCTCTGCAGGAGGCGCCTGCCCCACCATGCATTCACCATTTTATAGGCCATTGAGGTATGGGTTGACTGAACCACGTTCAGGGTCAATAAGCAGAGCTCTACCTAGTAGAGTCTGGAAGCCATGATCGAGTGGTTCCACCTGTCCACCCTGTGTAGCTGCACCACAACATGGTGGAGAAGTAGAAATGGAAATGAGCCACACACAGCAGGACTGCTGGAAGAAGTGGCCTCGCTTAGTCATGACTGGCTCTGGAGAGAACAGGAGTCCAGGGTCCATCCCTTCAGCAGGGGAGGCATGGAGGACTTGGGCTAGTGCTCCCAGTGGTGTCATTGACTCTACTAGGACCCGTATTGTAAGGGTTTGGGTGCCTCAGCTCATCACACTGAAGACCAAGCTTCAGCTCATGGCATTTGCAGGTGTATTCAAACCACAGCAGGACACCAATAACAACTTCATTGGATGGAAATGCATTGAACTTAATGACAGAGAAAATCTGTTGGAGTTTTTGAGAACTCACTGAAAGTCATAGCTAGCCAGAGAAGCTATGGACCCGCAAACTCAGATGCCAGATAGAACAGAATGTCACACATGGAAAGATTCCAGGAGCGGACCTAGAAGTCTCAGACCGGAAGTCTCCTATGTGAAGTTTCCCACCAGAAGTCTCAGCCAGTTCATCCTCTGCCCTACATAAAGAACCAAGCCGAATTCTTGCAGAGCAGGCTTCAGTCAGTCGGTTATCTGAGCCACCTCCTTGTGAACAAGGAGAAATGGCCTCATTGTTTTAATAGTTCATGATAATAAAAGAATTATATGCTAATGACCCGAGAAAAACATGCTTTTCTTTCTCCACATTCCTTACCAGTCACTGTTCAGGTGTAATCCTACTTTTATAGTGGTAGTGATATGGTAATACACTATTTCTCATTCTACCATTTGATTTTAAATTATTACTTTTAATATAAAAACCAGAAATTATTTTATTGGCTCCACAAGTTGGAGCATGTTGCTAAATTATTCCAGACAGCAGGAAAAGCCTCATTTGTACTTTAGGGTTTGGGGTTTTGTTTTTAAGTCTTGTTTAAAAAGGCAAAAGTTGGTCTTCAACTTGCTAAAAAAATTGCATTTAAAAATAATTAAAAGGACAGAAACTTTTTGAGATTTATTTGCTGTTTTTAGATCCCTTTGCACAAATTATTGGATCATATCCTTTCCTTCTCTCTCTGAAAGTTTGATTATTTTTCTTACTAATTGGATTGTATATTTTATATTCATGCCAGTTCCTGCATATTTTTTAGAACAACTATGTTCTATGTGATATGTCCGACATATGCCAAAAATAATACTTTGTTGCTTATTTGAAATTTAAATTTACCTGGGTACCTTTATTCTATCTGGAAACCTGCCTTTGGCTCCCTCTTCCATTAAGTCTTTATGGCTGGGGGCCGTCCCTGCTTCCCAGTCCTCGGAGTGTGAGCTGCTCACCCACAAGGAAACTGTGGTGGGTTCTTGGGTTCTTTGCCCATAGTTTCTCTTTATCTGCTCCCCTGGCCTGCATCTGACCCCTGGGGAGATCAGGGGACTTGACCTGCACCATCTTCCGTGTCAGTGTGGTTTGCTAGGGCTCCGTGTACTGAGATGCTCACACAGTACACATTGTTTTTCTCCATAACTTTAGAGGCTAAAAGTCTGACACTAGGGCACCCACAGCACTGCCTCTTCTGAGGACTCTCTCCTGAGCTGATGGGTGACTGTTTTCCGCCTGGGCCTTCACATCATGCTCCCTGTGGACCACTTGTGTCCAGATTTCCTCTTCTTACAGGACTCACCCCCGGGAATTACCTCTCTAAAGGCCCTGTCTTCAAATGCAGTCGTGCTCAAGGAACAGAGGGTAAGGACTCCAGCACAGGAATTTGTGGAGAAACATTGTGACAGTGCTTTCCACTCCTATGGCACTTGGTTTCACCTTATTCTCTCCCTGGACAGTGCTCCGATGCTCCTGGTCCTGAGGCCACCAGACTTCTCTGCTAGGGTTGGAGCCACCATGAGACCCTGAGTTCATAGAACAGCTGGGCTCCATCAGGGCTTCGCCCCAGACACAGCTCCAGGCCCCCTTGGTGGGACCTCCTTGGTGGGGCCTGGCCACAGTGGACAGATTTCCCAACACTGGCCAACACCCTTATGGACTTCCAAATTGGATCAGGGCCTGGAAATTTCTTCTGTGCTGCCTGGCTCCACCAGGGCCGCCTGATTCAGGCAGCTGCCTGAGTCATTCTGGATTCCGTCCCTCTGCCTTCACTTTCTGGGCCCTGGATGCTGGAGCTGCCCTCCCAGGAGGGACACAAGTGCAGAGGCCTCTCTTCCATGGTGTGTGATGGCTCAGGTTGGATGTGATGTGCTTCTGGATTTGAAGTCATTATCAGGACTTCACACTATAGATCAGATGTCTATTTTTCTTCTCCACTGCTGTCCTGATATTCGCTCAGTAACAGATCACCTTCCCTGTCCACAGTCTATGGCGTGAAGGAGTGAGAATCCCAGCTATGAGCAGTTGTTGAACGCTTGAAAACCAGCTCTCCAAATCCTAGAGCTTTAGTACACCAAGCAAGGGAGAGTATCTCCTTAATAATAGTTTGATTGATCACATGCTGAAATATTACCATTTTTGATACTTTGGGTTTAGTCAAATTTAGTAAAACTTTGGTTTGGGAGCATGAATTGTTCTGGGAACATGCTTATAATTCAAAGTACTTGTCTACCAAAGCGAATTTCCCCATAAGAAATAACAGAAACTCAGATAATTCATTCTACAACCCAAAAATATTCATATAAAAATGATTACAATACTGTAAGAGTACAAAATAAAGAAAGTATAAAATATACAGAAAAGTAAATATATTAACTTGCACTCACCTTTGAAAACCCTCATGGCTGGTGTGAGGGAGTCAAGAGAAAGGAGGGTTACTGCATGGGACGACTTTCACTATTGCAAATGGAATCACTACCTATTGGCGGCTCAGTGGAACCCTTTTCTGGTTGTGCAGCTTTAACAAGGAACCCATCCAATGATGCTTCTGCCTCCTTTGGAGGATTTCATGGAAATCTGACTTTGCATTGTCATTAAACAGACTCACTGCTGGCACTGTTGGTCTTATTTGAGTGATGCTTTCCTACAGAATTTTGCAGTGTTCCCCACATTTTACATGTCTTCCAGTTTTGCACTATTTCCAACATTTTACACATCTCCCTATCTTCCTCTGTATATGAGATCTGCTCCTTAAACTCCTACTGCTAGGAGCAATGATAATCCTGCAGTACAGGGGGATGGAGGGGCAGAGGAAACCATTAGAGAAGTTGTGATCATGTGACATTCACCTGCTGCTAGTATTGTAAGACATGGCTTGTCTATCAAGTTCAAATTTATTATAAATGTTTACTGGTCTTGTGAAACATTCGCAGAACAAGTTACAGTCCAAGATTTTACTGTACATATTAAAATTAGATTTATCTATTGTTTTTTTTACTGTTGTTAAATGTTAAATGTGACATTTAAAAGGAAATAAAATTCCATAAGTGGCTGTCTATATCTCTGTATGTGATTGTCTTTAACTCAAGCCTCATGAATTACATTGTTTTCATCTCTGTCTTAAATTTTAAGTCAATATTCTAATGTTTCAATGAATGTTCCGTTAAAGTACATTTTAATAACTGCAATAAGTATAAATATCTTCCTCATCATTCTTATTTTTTAGATTGTGCTTTCCAAGGCGAAGCACATTTTTCTTTTGGATAAATTTCAAAATTACTTTTGCCAGATTCACAAAAACTCTATTTGGATTCTTCATTCGCACACTAGAAATATTTTTATTCCTTCAAGTTATTACCTGTTTATGATTTTGTAGAGAACGTGAGGTCTTTATATTTTATATATTTTCTCAAGATCATGTCTATGTATATAATATTTTTGATATTATTGTCAATGGGGTCCATTTTCAGATGCCATTTGTTTTTACCCTGGCGTCCTTCAAAATCACTTAATTAAGCTGTGTACTGTAACCGTGATTATCTGTCAAGAGCATTTTACTGCACGCACTCATTGTATTTTGTTTCCACTGTCATTATAATGTCACAGAGACCAAGACCTCCAAACACTAATAAATAACTCTGGTGGTGGTGGGCATTGTTCCTGAGCATAATTTGCTGGTATTGCTCTTTGGGATATTTACCCTTTTAAACTTGGCAGTGCTCCCTTGTTGGCTTTGATTCTTTTCAAGGACACCCATTAGAGAAGCGCTTTCCCTTTCCAAGTAAAATAAGCAGTGGACAAGACAGAATTTCCTCTGGTGCCTTGCAGTTTACTCACTGTAAAAATAAAGCAAAAATCTCTGTCTGTCTGTCTGTCTTTGGTTTTGAGGAATATTTTCATAGGGTAGCTTATCAGTATAGTTGTTCCCTGGTGCTTTGTAAAACTCCCAGTGGTCAGAGGCACAGTTATAGATTCCCTTTCCTAAACCCATGTCCAAGAGACATAACAAAGGCTAGGGTTAGGTTCATAGTTAGGGTGGAGGTTAGGGAAGCCCAGTTTAAATGTACTCCTGTGGTGACCATCAATGTTAGATTTTCCAAGATTCCCTGTAGAAATTAGATTTAAGTTACTAGATCCTCAAGACCTCCTTTAGAAGTATCTTCTGCTTTATATCAGTAGACAAACAAGCTCCTACAGTACATCTTGGAGAAAGGGCAGCCTTAGGGTTTTTGTAGGATCAACTACAAAGTATGCAAATGCTTGTAGCTCTCAAGTTAAGACAGGGTGTTGGTGAGTCTACCAGTAGCCGGGACCACATGGCAGCCGAGCCATCTAGACAGAGATGCAAACTGCCCCTGCAAATGTAGGGGAGACACTGGACACTGTCATGCCCTGTCCTTAGGAGAATACATCCGAGTTATCAGACAAACTTGGGAGTTGTTCACCCTTTGAAGTTGTTTGTGATGAGGAACCAGTCCTGAGTCTGGCTTAGTTTGACACTCCATGGACATGAAAATTCTGGAAATATCTCCACATTGAGAAGTGTACACAGTATAGTATGTCACAGACAGTGCACTCCTTAGGGGAAAGGCCCTGGATGGAAGCCTGAAAATGCAAAGGGGGCCTCTTTCTTGGTGAATGGTGTCTAGCAGTTCCTGTGGTGGGAGAGACATTTAGCGAGGTCCAGATTCTAGAAGTTTTTTTTGTCAGCTCCTTATATCATCCCTGCTGCCCCTAAAGCACCCAGAGGTGGCTCAAACTGACTCTCCTTCCCCTGCAAGTGAGAACCAAGGCACAGTCCCTTGAGGACTGGCTTTTGAGATGGGGATTTGTGGGTGTGATTCTCCATTGTTCCTTTGGGGAACCAAATGGTAAGTTCAGTGAGGAAAAGGGGACACTGTCTTGGGGACAATGGCTGTGGAAGGAAAAGGGAAGTAGGGGACAGGCCAGGATCTGGCCATGTCCCTGTTTGTCCCACATCTGGCCCACTGCCAAGCTTGCTTTTTGGAGGAGACCTACAGAGGGTGGCAGTGGCCAGGAATTGTCAGTTCAAGACAAGCATGACTCTGCCTTAAAAACTGCATAACTTGTAAATTGTCATCTTATAATTGGAGGATGTCAGCTGGCCACACATTTTTCAGATTACAGGAGATGCTAACCCAGCACCTCCGCCTGTCACTCACAATCTGGACCTCTGCACCACTGTGTACTCCATCAGGTTCAGGAGAACTTGAAGCCGAGCTGATGTCTACTTTTGGCAAGGAGACCCCAGTCCCTCAGCACATTGTGCATCCCAGGGTCTGGGTCTGTTGGGTCATTGGTCCCCGTCTCTCCCCATTTTGGGGATGGAGCGTGGGAAGAGCCGTGTTCCTGACCTCCTCCGGGCACCCCAGCTGCACAGCAGGAGCTGTGTCCCACAGCCTGGGTTTCCTCACCCTTCCGAGTTGAGATTTAATGATCTGTAGAGTAAACCCCCTTCCACCACACACCAGTGGGAACAGGCGATAATGCGTTATCTCTCCTGCTAACCCCTTTCTAAACAAGCGCATCCTCCAGTCGATCTGAGACCAGATAAGAGGAGGACCCAAGGTCCCCTTTGAAAATGGTAATGAATCCAAACAAGAATTCTTGGAGGGATCATTTCTGCTCTGGTTTGCATTAGCCCTTCAATTAAAGGGTTTACACAAGGGGGCTGATGGGGGGGGGGCTCTACCACATGAAAGGGAGGAAAAGCCGAGCCCTAAAAGGAGGCGTTCCTTAGCTTTCTTTGGCTGTGTTTCCCAGACCTTGGGAAAGATCGGCCTTTTTCAAAGGAGAGGTCATGTGGAGGGAGCGCGATGAGAGGCCGGCTGCATGGGTTGGCCCTTCCTCCCAGATCTGCAGTGCCCCAGCCTTCCTTTGACAGATCAGAAGAAGGGGAAATGAGGAGACAGTGATTCTGGGGGCACCTGAAGCCTATAGAGATGAGGTGAGCATGTCTCCAGGTCCCCCTTCTTGGGAAGCAGTCTCAGCACCAGCTCTGAGCTATGTGAGGATAGCCGCTCCCTCTCATCAGGCTGAGATGAGGAGTTGTGTGTGGCCACCACTGTGTTGGATCCTGGAACTGCAGCTTCAGCCTGGGGCTTTCTCAGAAACACTGGACACTGCTGGGCTGTGGAAGGGGACCCTACTGAGCCCCAAGGCCAGGAGGACCCCTCTTTCCATGTCTCCCAGGCCCTCATGCAGGGTCCAAATAAAAGAGGTGTCCAGTGAGCCCTCCCATCCTTCCTTCCATCCTTTCCTTCTTTCCTTCTTTCCTGGTACTGGGGATTGAACCAGGGCCTTCGCACTGAGCTGTGTCCCCAGCCCTTATTATTTCAAGATCTTCTAAGTCACGGAGTTGCCCATACTGGCCTTTAGCTTGTAGTCTTCCTGCCTCAGCCTCCAAGAGTACTAGAATTATAGGAGGTGTGCTTTTCTTAAAAGGAGTCTGAGAAGATATTTTTGAAGAATTAAAAAGGTCCTACTGTCTCCTTCTTCTTAAGAAGATAAACTCCAAATCATACTATCGTAATCCTGAGTCAGACAACTTCCTTTTTTCCATTACACCCTCAAGAGTATGAGGGGCTTCAGGGGTGCCTTGCCTGAAGCCCCTCTACAGTCCCTTATATTTCCTAGACATAGAGGTTTGGAAGATAGTGACCCTGCCTTCAGTTCTAGGGTGGGCCCTGATTGGACAAAACCATTTCTCAGGAAGAGGGAATAATACATGCAAACTAGACCTTGGCCAATCAGAGCATGCCATTCTTCTCTCCTTGGTTATGGATAGGGAGCATCCAATCAGGACATGGATATGAATGTGGAAGCATATAGATCTGGCTGCCATGTGTGATCATGGAGACAGGAACAGCAAACACAAAGAGCTGGACAGAGCTGAGCAAATGGCCGAGGCACAGAAATGGAGTCAGATAAAACAGTGTGTGAATATGAAAAGAGCCAGTGAAGGTTTCTGTTGGGTCAGTGGTGGTGAACCTATGGCACATGTGTAGCAGTTGACTGAAGGTTCTAAAAGGTTCGCCATCACTGCGTTAGGTGCAACGATAACTAAGTCAAGTCAAGACAAGAAGTCTGATACTCGGATCCACAGGCCTAGGATGAGGGGCGGGGAGTCAGGTCAGATGCCATGTTGATAGACATGCAGAGACGATCTTGTCCTTCATCAGGGGCGCTGTGTCGGCATCCTCTAAGGGGTCTCTTTCTCTCTGAGTCCTGAGCTGATGGGTTTGGTTACACAATTGTGTTTGGAGCAGATTAACACCTGTGATATTCACTGGCACCCAGAGGATGGTTCAGGATTCACTCTAAGAACAGAACTAAATAGAGGAGATACAAGTCTGGGCTTTGCAGACTGCTGGGCCTCAATGGCCACATGTGGGTGGCACCTGACCTAACACAATGGCATCTGGGAAAATGCAAACGCTATGCTTTGCATGAGTGTCCTCAGGAGCCCAGATGTGGAAAGACGGGCATCAGACTGTGGCATTACTTGGAGAAGGTGGGACCCCTAGGAGGAGGGCCCTGGTGGGAGGAAGTGAGGTCACTGGGAAATTTAACTCAGTTGCCCAATGGTGCCACAATTTGTCAGCACTGAGCACTGTCATTAATGTCTTTGACAACAGAATACCCAGGAAGTTGCATGCTGATGTTGAGCTCAGTTTTCTCTTAAAGTAAATAGGGATGCTTCATGTTAGCAGTCTTTACTGCACCTGCAGAGAATAACCTGTTCAGGCATTACTATTTTATATTAAAGGGTTTCTTGTTATTGGTTTATCTGATCTATTATTTATATAAAAGATGGAAACCAGTCATGTTTGATACTGACTTCTTTGAAACATATTGGCTGTTTTTGGAGAGCACCCATTTATTAGGCTTTCAGAGTTTGTCAGTCTTTATTTTAGTATTCATTCCATTCCTTTTGATCATAGATAATTTAGATCAAGTGTTGACTTCCATGGGGGATTTCTACACTTAACCCCTTTATCTACCCAAAGCTTGCTCTGCTGTCTAGATGTAAGATAC